CGCCCGGGGCCCCCTGCCATAATAGACTAACTCACAGGTTGGCTCAACTCAGTGCCCTTGGAAGGTGTGGATGCCCCCTCAGTAGTGAAAGCCCATGTGCCCCCAAATCCCAGAGAGGCAGTACTCCTTAGGGACTGGCTATGTGACCTGGGTCACCTCGGTTCCTGCACCTGCAGAACGACCGCTTGGCCACGCACAGGGCTCGTGAATGAGCGGGAAAGCCGTACCTGCCATGTAGGCGAGGAGGATGCCGGTGACGACCATCAGCTGCACACAGGAGCCGAGCAGCCCCCGGATTGCCGGGTAGGCGATTTCGGAGATATACACCTGCGGGCAATCAAGAGGAGTGGAGGCTTTACTTGATGGCTACCAGGTTAAGGTCCAGAAGCACCAGTCGGGGCTGCAGCAGGCTCTGGGCATCCCTAAACACATTGTCCCTGGCCAATAGTGCCCTTCCCATTGCCCCCCTCACCCCTACTCTGTATCTGGGGTGTCCAAGGGACTGAGGTTATGGACTTGGCTGCTTGTTCTCCAGCCTCCAGGGTGGTGGTGGTGGTGTGTGTCTCTGCAGAGAAAGCAAGCACAGAGCTTCTCAAATGTCAGTGTGTACATCCCTTGGAGAAAATGTCAATTCTGACTGGACAGGTCTGGGGTGGGGCCTGAGATTCGGCATCGAGACCTCTACGGGCTGCTGGCCCCGAACCGCAGCAGTGTGAGTGGCTCCTCTGGAGTAAAAATGCAGAACTCCTGGACTCAGTTCTACCAGTGGCTGTCAGCCCAGGGCTCAGGGGCCACCAGGGCTTTGCCCACACTTCAGGGTTATTCCCCACACCTTAGGCCCCTGAGGATCCCAGTGGTGTGTGTGGTGAGCACTCACTACCAACCAAAAGGTTGGCAGTTTGAACCCACCAGTCACTCCTTGGGAGAAAGAGCTGGCAGTCTGCTTCCATAATGATTGACAACCTTAGAAATCACGTGAGGCACTTCTACTTGGTCCTTTAGGGCTGCTATGAATCAGACTCAGGAGCCCTGGTGGTATAGTGGCCTACGTCTTGGGCTGCTAACTGTAAGGTCAGTAGTTCAAAACCAGCAGCTGCTCCTTTGGAGAAAGACAAGGCTTTTTGTTCCCATCAAGAGTTATAGTTTCAGAAGCCCACAGGGGCAGTTCATCCTGTTCCTATGGGGTCGCTATGAGTCAGAATCAATTCAATGGCAGATTTTTTTGGGGGGGGTGTTGGGAAGCAAGTGGGGGTGGGGAGGCCCATGACTAACACAAGTCTGTTTTTGTCTAGAATAATAAAAGGACCCCCTTCTTCCTGTTGCTGCCCAGCCAATGCAGGTGAGAGGAGCTGGAGGAGCAGAGGGGTGCCCAGGGAGGATGCCTGGCTACCGTTTCCCATCTTCACCAGGCTGGGGAGGAGATGGCCCACCCCCGGCAGCAGTTCCATGGCTACTCAGGGATACCCCTGCCAGAGCCCAAGCACTCCCACACAGTGTGCCAAGTCCCACTGCCTGATAACCCCCCACCCTCTCCACTTGACAAAGGAGGAAAACAGGTTCAGTGAGGTGTCGGGCCCAGGTAGGTGGCAGAGCCGGGATCTGAGCCCAGGTCTGTGTGATGCCAAAGTCTGTCTGTCAGCAGGGCTTCCCTCAGCAGGCCTACAGGGCAGGGCAGAACTGCCCCATGGGTTTCCAAGAGCGAACTCTTCATCTTTTTCCCAAGGAGCAGCGGACAGCGTCAAACTGCTGACCCCGGAATCAGCAGCCCAAGTGTCACATTAACTTTCCAGGGCTCCTGAGGGAGGGAGGGCTCTGGGGCTGGGCGGGGAGCAGTCAGTCCTGGTAGTCCTTTCTCACAGACAAACCCAAGCAGGGCAGGATCTGTACAACAGGGCATGACAGAAGGGGCCCATTCAGCACGTGTGTCAACGAAAAGGGCAGGTCAGTTACAGGGGGCAATCCTGGACTCCGGTGGCAGGAGTGCGGGCCCTGACGGAGGCTGGGTGTCACCTGTACAGTGGGGCTGACAACAGTGGGCTCCATCCACGGGCTGTGTGGAGGGGAAGAGCTCTTATAGGAGACTACTTAATCCGTGGGTGGGTGTCGGACACAGCCATGGGAGCCATGCCCCCTGGTCGGGAGCAGTCTGTCCCACTCTCTGTCCTCGGCCGCAGGTGGACACTAACCGGGGCCACTAGCGAGGCGACGCCGCAAGCCAGGCCGGTGAGGAGGCGACCCCCGAGCAGCATCCACAGGTCCTGGGCCGCGGTGATGACAGCGAAGCCGGCCACGAAGGGCACGGCGCACAGCAGGAGGCTCAGCTTGCGCCCGGCGCGGTCCACTAGCCAGCCGCCCAGCACGCCCCCCGCCGCGGCGCCCAGGGTCACGATGGCCTGGGAGGCGGGCGGACCGCGGGCTGAGCAGAGGATACTCGGGGCCCACCCTCGCCCTCACCCTCCACCCCACGGCGTCCGCCGAGGCAAAGAGCGGGGGATCCTGGCCGAGGGTCCCAGTGCCCGCCCGAGGGGGCTGCCTGCAGGGGAAGGGGCCCAGGCCGCAGTCTCACCCCGAACCAGGAGGCCGCGTCGTCGTCCAGGCGCGGGGCTCGGGGCACGTCGCGCCGCAGGCTCGGGATGGCCGGGGAACTGTAGCCGAGCGCGAAGCCGAAGCTGAGCGGGCCCAGGGCGGCTGCAAAGGCGGCGAGGAAGACCCGGCGGCCGCGGGGGACGCTGCGGGGACAAGGCCGTGAGCGGGACGGAGGAGGGGCAGGGAGCGAGGCCGCGCCCTCCGCCCCGGGCCCCGCTGCCCGCTCACCTGCCGCCGGGCAGCCCCAGCAGCGGCAGCCGCTCCTCCTGGTCCTCGGGCGTCATGTCAGCGGCCAACGCTGCTTCGGTCCGCTCGGTTTGCCCGAACTGCCACACGTCCCGCGAGTGCGGCCGGCACCCGCCTCGCGCAACAGAGCCAGCCAATGGGCAATAAGGAACGGCTCTAGGGCGGAGTCGGGAACTTCGCGAATGGCAGCGCGACCAATGGAAATGTAAGGCGGGGCTTAGCGTCTCGTTTGGGACCGCCCCTCAAATCAAAGTAGACCAATGGAAGCACAGACTAGGTTGGCAATTTCTACTGAAACCGCCCCCAGAACAGAACTACCCAATGTACAGGCGGGGCGGGGCTAGGGGGGAGGAGCTTCATCCAAACGTCCAATAGGTTTGTGCTGCGGGTCATAAATTTGCCTAAGAGCTGAGACCGCCAATGAGGGTGTGGGGCGGAGATTGTATGTAGCCTGAAGCCTTGAAGCTGCTTTCAGTAGGGCTCGGGGCAGGGCGACAGTGGAGCGCGTGGGTACTCGCTCCTTTTTTGACACGTCCGAATTCCTGCGCCTGCTACTGACCACGGGGTCAGCAATTTCTGACTTGGGCCCTAGGTGCCTGTTCCAACCCTGCCCACCTGAGAGCCGCAAGCAGGCTGCCCTGGGGCTCCTACTTCCCCTCACCCCCACACCCCACAGGGCGCGGAGACTGAGCCGGATTTCTTGCCAGTTTGCCCAGCACGAAATCTTGACCCCTCGAGCCAAGGCCGTGCCCTGCTTCCACTGATTGCTGAAGGCTACTGAGCATCTAAGAATTCTAGGTGTTGGGACCTGTATGAGCCTGGGACGCCGTGCTGCTCCCTGGTACGTTTCACTTCATAGGTAACCATGGTTGTCCTGAATCTCCATCCTACCACTGCCTGACTTCGAGTACCCAGGAGACTAATTGCTAACCCCTTCATGATGGGCGTGAAGATGATCAGGGCAGGCCTCTGGAGGATCGCATTACTGGTGCCAGCATCAATCCCTACACAACAGGCAGTCCCTGTGGAACTAGTGTGTTTCTGGAAAGAACCAGGGCTGTGGGACTAGACCAGGCCTTTAATCCCTTGAAGCGCTCCTCATCTCGTTGTTGTTATTAGTTGCCATCACGTTGGCTCTGACTCAGGGGCACTGCACAACAGAAGGAAACATTGCTCAGCCCTGCACCATCCTCACGATTGTTCTTATGTTTGAGTCCGCTGTGCCCATCCATCTACTCAAAGGCCTTCCTCTTTTTCGCTGCACCTCTACTTCACAAGCCTGATGTCCTTCTCCAGGGACTCATCTCTCCTCACATGTCCAAAGGATGTGAGACAAAGTCTTGCCATCCTTGCTTCTAAGGAGCACTCTGGCTGGGCTTCTGCTAAGACTTTTGGCAATCCACGGTACTTTCAATATTCTTCCCTAGCACCGCCATTCAAATGGAGTGATTCTTCTTTGGTCTTTCTTATTCAATATCCAACTTTCACATGCATACGAGGCAATTGAAAATACCATGGCTTGAATCAGGCATGGCTTAGGCCTCAAAGTAACATCTTTGCTTCTCAACATTTTAATCTGTGTAGCAGATTTACCTAATACAACATGCCTTTTGATCTCTTGCCTGCTGGTTCCATGAGCATTGTTGGTGGATGCAAGCAAGATGAAATCCTAATCAACCTCAGTCTTTTCTCCTTTTATCATGGTGTTATTTATTGGCTCAGTTGTGGGGATTTTCATCTTTATATTGAGGTGTAATCCACACTGAAGGCTGCAATTCTTCCTCTTTATCATCAAGTGCTTCTTCCTCACTTTCAGCAAGCAAGGTTGTGTCATCTGCATATCGTAGGTTGTTAATAAGCCTTCCTCCACTCCTGATGCTGCACTCTCTTCATATAATCCAGTTTCTCTAATTAATTTGCTCACATATAGTTTGAATAAGTATAGTGACAAGAGAAACCCTGATACACTTTTCTTGATTTTAAACCATGCAGTATTCTCTTGTTCTGTTTGAATCCTTTTGATCCAATAATGGAATCATGTATAGATTCCACATGAGCTCAATGTAGCATTCTGGAATTCCTTTTCTTCTCAGGGCTATCCATTATCCATAGTTTGTTATGGTCCACACAGTCGAATGCCTTTGCATAGTCAATGAAACACAAGTGAACAGCTTTCTGGTATTCTCTACTTTCAGCCAAAATCCACCTGATGTCAACAATGTTCCATGTCCTCTTCTGAATCTGGCCCGAGTCTGGCCCAGTCAGTGTACTGCTGCAACCATTGTTGGATGATCTTCAGCAAAATTTTACTTGCATATGATGCCAATGATATTGTTCTGTAATTTGAGCACCTTTCTTTGGAATGAGTACAATTATGGATTTTTAAAATGTTTTTACCAGTTGGCCAAGTAGCTGTCTTTCAAATTTCCTGGCATAGATGAGTGCGTGCTTCCGGTGTTTTGTCAGCTTGTTGAGACATTTCAATTGGGATTCCATCACTTCCTAGAGCCTTGTTTTTGGTTAATACCTTCAGTGCAGCTTGGACTTCAGTTCTTGCTTATATGCTACCTCCTGAAATGTCTGTATGTCTACTAGTTCTTTTTGGTACAATAACTGTGTATTCTTTCCATCTTCTTTTGATGCTTCTTGCAAAATTCAACATTTTCCCATAGAATCTTTCAATATTGCCACTTGAGGCTCAAGCTTTTTCTTTACTTCTTTCAGTTTAAGATATGCTAAGCATGCTCTTACTTTTCTAACTTTCGAACTCTAGGTCTTTACACATTTTATTATAATATTTTTCACTGTCTTCTCGAGCTGCCCTATGAAATTTTCTGTTCAGCTCTTCTGACATCTACTTAAAACAATCATTTTATTGGTGGAGGGGGGGGCTCTTGCCAATCTTGTAACAATCCATCAAGGATTAATAGTTTCTTGAGGGCGTGGCAGGGAAAGTTTGGGGGGGGGCAGAACTGACAGTTAATAATAATGAGTACAAGAAAGCAGAAAATGTTCTAAAATTGATGTGGTGATGGCTGTACAACTCTTTTAAATACGATTGAACTAGTGACATCCACTTTGATCTTCCTTTTTCTTCCTGTATCTTCCCTGACTTTTTGTTCTCTTCGTGAATGATGATCTTGATGTCATTCCATAGCTTATTAAGTCTCTTGACATTAGTGTTTAATACATCAAATCTGTTCTTGAAATTCACTAAATGTTCTCAAGGTCTTATTTTGGGTCTTATTCTGGCTCTTGCAGATTTGTTTTTAATTTTCTTCAGTTTCAACCTGAACAATGAGCAATTGATGGTCTTTTCCAAAGTCAGCCGCTGGCCTGGTTTTAGCTGCTGACATTGAGCTTCTCCATGGTCTCTTCTACCACCACAGCTGTAGTCAATTTGATTTCTGTGTATTCCATTTGGAGAAGACCATGTGTATCATCATTGGTTGTGTTGAAAAAAGGTATTTGCTATGAACAAGTCATTGGTCTTGCAAAATTCTGTCTTGCCATCTCCAGCGTCATTTCTATCACCAGGACCTTCCTCTTTGTTTTTAATTACCTTTTGCATTCCAATCACCAATACTTATCAATGCATATTGATTGCATGCTTGATCAATTTCAGACTGAAGTCGCCGGTCAAATTCTTCAATTTCTTCATCATTGGCTTTGGTGGTTGGCGCATAATTTTGAATAATAATTGTATTGATTGGATTTCCTTGTATTCAGATAGACATTATCCCATCAGATCGCATTGTATTTCAATAATGATCTTGAAATGCCTTTTTGGATGATGAATGCACTGTCATGCCTCGTGACGGTGTCATCCCTAGCATAGTCCATCACAGGACTTTCTGCCTGAAAATGGCCAACACCAGTCCATGTCTGCTCCTTTCTGGGTCACTTCTGACAACTTCGGATTTTCCTAGATTCATACTTTGTATATTCCAAGTTCCAATTATTAATGGATTTTTACAGCTGTCACTTTTCATTTTGAGCCCCCCTCCTAGCCCACCAGTGCATGCAAGTCTATGGGAAACAGAAGGATTTCTCTCAAGTTGTCTCCCCCCAAAATATGACAAACTTAGCTGCTTGCGAATGACTATACACTTGGAGGCCATCAAGAATAGATCAGTGGTCATTCTCCCTAAGAGCTATTATATCAGCTATCTAGACCAAGAAGACACCACTGTTTATTCCACAACAAGTTGGGTCCATTCCCTTCTGATAAGGATAATAGTTGTCTGTTTCCTTGTAAGAGACACCAGAGGGGTCAAACCCGCCCAAGGATGACCAAGGTTAGGCTGCCATCATGAATCTAGGGTCCACCCATCTTGTCACATATATACCCCTAGACCTTCCCATTCCTATGGGCACACCCCTAGCTCATCCCCTTCCTGTCATGCTTAGGCCTATCATATATCCCCTTCCTACAATGTGTATGCCTATTGTACTGCCCCTTCTTGTGATGCATGGTTACCTGTAATCATGTTCCCCCTAAGGAGATATAACCCTTGGTGAGCAATAAAGTGGAGGCTCTCCCCCGTCCTTGCTCCCCGGGGCTCTCCTGCTCTCACTCCTGAGCTGCTCCTGCTCTCATGGCTGGGCTCCCCCCACGAGGACCACCAAGCAGGGTTGAGGTGAGCATGCTACCATGAAATGTGTCTGACTCCATTAATTCAATCTCTCTTCTACCTCTCATGTTCTCTATGACTTTACTATAATGTTTACTTATTATCGCTGTACAATTGCACCTACCAGACCTGTGATGATTTGTGGGGGACCCCCCTTCGCCCCACACAAGTCCCAGAGGTTGTACCCCATCACGTGTGATGGTCGACTCTACTGTGAGAAAGCAGCTCTTCCTTGGGCATATTTTCAGTGCCTTCTGACCTGAGGGGCTCATCTCCCCGGCACTGTTTCTGCCAATGGTCCACATCTGTTCATCAGGTTTTCAGGAACCGACAATGTTTAGATGCTATCCAGAGGGTTTTCAGTGGCTAACCCCTCTGAAGTGGACAGCCTACTAGTCCTTCCTCATAGTCTGTTCTTCATCTGGAAGCTCTGCTGACACCTGCTCACAGGGAGTGACCCTGCTGGTACTGGAAACACCTGTGGCATAGCTTCCAGCATCACACAAGCCACCGCAGTATGGCTGACCGAATTGACAGACATGTGGTAGGTGATCTTATCTATTTTCCAGGAGAGAGGGGATAAGTACATAAAACCCAAGCACATGGGAGCACTTAAATGCAGGCTTCTAAGGTGACAATCGTCTGATGGACTGCAGTCACCTGACGGCACAATCATTCAACCCACATCTTTCGGTCTTTACCCCAGGACTATCTTCAAACACTTAGGCAATCGCCCTTCTGTGCTTCCTCAGGGTCTTGTGCTTGAGAGATAAATCCTTATCGTTGTTTTAAAATCCCTGCCACTGCTCCCCCCTCTCCCTGCCATAGGGTTTCCTTTGGACAGCAGTCCCTTGGTATTTGCAGAGTGGACAAATGTCTCAAGCTCCCAGGACAAACAACTGCTGAGAAGCATGGTTTATTTTGTAACCCAGCCGGTGGGGCTGTGGGCAGCTACTTGGTGGCCAGGGGTGGGGAGCTCCCTGTCCTCCAGTCAACCCAGCGAGGCCTCTTCCCCTGAGCGTGCAGTGTTTCCTTCTTGGCCTTTGTAAGCAGATGTCACTGAAAAAATAGTCCCTCCCCACCCCCCGCCCCCCACCCCCGCCATTTGGTATCAGCAGAGAACCACCAGTCTGATTAGTAGGCTCTGCCTTCTGCTCTCTCCATCTTCACTCCTCAGATGGGTGACTCTTGTCCAATCATGGGGTGGCCCTAAGCTGCGGATCCCCTTGGGAGAGTGCCTGAAAGAACCTTTAGGAAAAATAGATGCAAGCTCAGAAAGCTTACAAACTAGTTGCATGTGAAAAACCCCAGCCAGACCCAAAGGGCAGAAAGCATTCTGCCTGGCTGTGTGGTAGACAGGGCAGAGAGCACCGGCTTTGAGGCCGAAGGAGTCGCGGGTTCAAACGACTGCACATTTCTGAGCCTGTTTTCTCACTGGAAAAGCCAGACTCATAAAACCTAATTTCACAGAATTGTTGGGATGGAGAACGGTGTTTCCTCTTGTGAGGAAGGGCATAGCGAACCGCGAAGGAGAAGTGAATGGACCCCAAACGGTGGACGCTGCCATGCTGCATACCATGTGGCAGGGCACCAGTGCTTGTAATGGCCCGGCTGGAGTAGACCAAAAGCGCATTGTCCTTCTTGCTCTAGCCTCTTGTGAGACAGTGAAAGGGGATCATTTTAGACTAGAGCCCAAGGAAAACGACTTCCTCATGCAAGTTAAAATGCTTGAAAGCCATGTCAGCGAAGCCAGGGGTTCCTGGGCTCTGCTCTTCCCTGGCTGAGGGCTGGCACGTCAGCATGTACACTGGACCCCATCTACAGTTTCCGGTCATTTGAGAAGGGAGCAGAGGAAGGGAAGTGATTTGGTTCATGTGACAGCCTGAGGCAGACCCAAACGAGGAGGGACTATGAGAATCAGCATTTTGATCTCCAGCAGTAACTATTTCCTGGTTATGATTTTAGATCAACCATAAAATCAAACCAAAGACCCTGGAAAATCTCCTAGTCCTAGTTTTTTTTCTGTTTTGTTTTGGGGAGACACAATGAGGGTGCAGGCAGGATTTCTAAGATCTAACCGTTCAGCTTGTTGGCAAGAGTCAATGAGCAGAAATAAAGCCAAACTCACTACAATTCACAGTGACCCCTAGAGGGCAGAGTAGAACTGCTTCTGTGGGTTTCCAAGAACACAAATCTTTCTGGAAGTAGAAAGCCCATCCTGCTCCCTTGGAGATGTCCATGATACTGAACTGCTGACCTTGCGGTTAGCAGCCCAACGCTCAACCCCCTCCACCACCAGGTCTCCCAGGCAGAAACATGCAGGTTGCAACCCTAGTGAGTGGAGACAACAACAGGGCCCAGAGAAAACCGTTCCTGAAGAATTTTAAAAGCAGTGCCTGTTCCTTATCAAAGAAAACAGCGCTGTAAGGAAAACAAAACAAAACAAAACCCTTTTCCACCCAATCATATAAAATACGATAAGGTGACCATCCATAAGAATGAACATCTTTTATTTATTTAAAGAGTCGAGCTAAAACCTCAATGACATCTACCACCTTTGTTACAAGGGGACTGATGGTTCCTGGACGGAAAGAAACAACGGTCAAGAAAGACATGGGCAGCAGACACTGGAGAGTGACCTCAACTGGCCGGGTGTGCGGAGGATTTGGTCCAATAGATCACCGACCGGCGCAACGCCGCGCTGAGTGCGAAGTGATGTCAGAACTGTTGAGACGGTAGAAACTTTCCTAAGGAAACTAAGGGTGGCGGCGCGATTCAGACGTCCCTTTACTTCAAGTCAATGCAGTCTTCATCCGAGCCAGTGGGGAGCTGAAAGGGGCTGCCTGACATGGGGCTGCCTGCTCTGTCCGCCGCGGGGTCCGGGTGGGAGCTGGTCGAGGGGCAGTGCCCCTCGGGATTGGCTTCGGAGGTTGGGCTTTCCAAGGATCCCGAGGCGATCCTGCAGAGAGAAGGGTGTCTGTGAAGAGGGCGCTCCGGGAGCAGGGCCTCGTCTGCCTGCAAGTGTTCCCCTGGCCCACCCGGCGGCTCACCGCCCTGGGTAATGCAGGACGGGGGCCCCACCTCCCAGCCCAGGCTTTGTCCTCAGATACTTCGAGCCATGTGGTGGCTCTGAGGTCTCCAGGGGCTGCTGGGGGACACACAGAAGCTGTTTGGGGGGTGTCATTTATCTTTCCAGGAGCCCTGGTTACATGGTTACGTTGGCTGCTGACTGAACGGCTGGAGATCTGGGCCCACCAGCAGCTCCACCGGGGAAAGACCTGGCGGTCTGCGTCTAAGAGCTGACTTTGGAAACACCTTCGGCCACACGCAGCTGCGACTCCACAGCACGCATCGTTTCCCTTTCTACGGTGTGAATCCGGAGGGTGCCCCTCTGCCTAAAACCTACGAGGAGTCCCTTCCATTCCCACCTGCAGCCCAGGTGCCCGGACTTGGGCCCCTGCCCCATCTCTGACCTGTTCAAATGTCTTTTGGGTTGGTTTGAAATTAGCTTGTGTACCTCAAAGAATCTCTGTTGGTTTCCACGCAGACCTGTGTTTAGATCTGGTGGGTCAGGGAATCTGGGGGACTTTTAAGGCTGTGACTTTCTCGTATATATATTTATATATACGTAATTCATTTGGGGGATGGTGGTTCCCCTTTTATTTGTGGAATATCAAACATACAAAGGAAAACAGAGCAGATGTCACCTCCTCTATTCTCTCCAACACCCCAGGGTTCTCTCTGAAAAGCGCTGCGTGATCAATTTGATCGCTCAGGATCCTGCTTTCCAAGGAGTGGATTTCTTCCACCAGCACTCCTTATCCCACAACAGTTCTGGGTGCAGCCCCAGCCCACTGCTCGGCCCCACATGGGTCCTCTTCCTGACTCCGCGTGCCAGCTGGTCTGCTCTTCCTTCAGGCTCCTAACGGATCAGCCCTTGGCCTGCACTTTCCTCTTGTCCTCAGCTCCTTAGCATTCATTCCAAGCTTGGCTCAATGTCCCTGTCACTGCCTCGAAGGAGCTCACTGGACGCCTCTCTCAAAGTAGACTTTAGACATGCTTCCCCTAACCTTGGTCAGGGGACCTTTCACCTTTGTGATGCTCATCGGTATTTGAAATGACCAAATTTGCTTTGTTCGTGGCAAGGTGAGTGTCTGTCCCTCCACACCAGATGTGGAGACCATCAGGGCTTGTTGAGTTGACGTCTGAGAGCCTGCTGGTCCTCTCCAGTCAAGTTGATGAGAGGTGGCCCAGCCTTTCCCTCCTGTCTGCCCCAGGTGGGAGTGGCTGCCACCCCTTGTCCTGGCTGAGACCGTCTGCATCGCATGCTAGCCCAGAATGCCCTAGCTGCTTCCTTGTGAGCTCATCAACACAAGGGCAGTGCAAGGGACATCCCCATGTACTCCCGAAACCCACCCCAGGGCCGGACCCGTCCACAGCGCGTGCTGAACGAACTGATGAAGCTTTGGACACAGATCGCCGTACCTGCAGGACACACACTCTGGCACAGTCGCTGAGACGTGATGCTGACTGGACACCGAGAAAGGCCCTCTCTCTGTTCCTAGTGTTCTAATGCCGAAGACTGGGAGAGTATCCGTTTCCCTGCGCGCTGACTGAGCATTTTTTGTTTTATAAAACCTGTCAAATTATTGAGCAGCAACCACAAAAGTCTGGATAGGTTTTCGTGAAAATTAGTTCGCTTGTGAATGCGGTTGCCTGTTCGTCCTGGTCCTCTCTGGCAGGCAGCGGCGACTGACTCACCTGTCACTGCTTGTCGGTCTCACCGCCTCTGGGTGGGGGCCTCCTTGGCTTCCTTCTAACCGTTTCCGAGTTCTGCCTTTGGCCTTTGGTGCTCCTTCTGGCCTGGGTCCGCCTTCGTCTGAGAGGCCTGGAGAGCAGGGGAGAAGCAGAGGTCAGAGGGTGACGGTCATTACCACCGTGTTGAACACGTCACTTTCATTCTTCCTTATAGGGCTCCCAGAAATCTGAACAAAATACTCTCGGACCGTCTCGGCTCTCTGCAATGGGGATGGTGCTTTACATGTCTCTGAACCGCTCCGTGGTCTGTATCGAGAGCAAAGGGCATCACCAATTCGTTCACTGTTGCCACCCCCATGGGCCTGCCCAGGACCAGTGGCTGAGAGGTGGCATAAGTCACCCACACCCTCTCCCCCGTCATTGGGTTGGCTCTGACTTATAGCGGTCCTAGAGGCGGGGGAGAACTGTTCCGTGCGGCTTCTGAAACTCCATTTTTATAGAGCGCGCAAGCTCATCTTCTGTGGGGCAGCTGGTGGGTTTGAACCTTTGACTTTGTGGTTAGCAGCCCGATGCTTTACCCCCTGTGACACCAGGGCTCCTCAGGCATAAGCAAGAACGTTGTAAATGTAAGCTTATGGATCTACCTATGTAAATGTTTTCTAAGAACTTCAGGATATAAATCCTGAAAGGTTCTTGTCTTGGAAATCATCTGTGTGGTTTATGGAATGTTCCCGGCCGGGAGCTCGAAACCACCAGCTTTTCTACTCCTGAAAAGAGCTACAATCTTGGAAAGCCACAAGAGCAGCTCTCCCCTGTCCCAGGGGTCGCTATGAGTCAGCATTGCCCAGAGGGCAGTGAAATACAGAAACCCACTGCTATCGAGTTGATTTAGAATCACAGTCACCCTGTTGGACAGAGAACTGCCCCATAGGGTTGCCAAGGTGGTGATCTTCCCCTGCTCCCCCACAAGGTTGTCATTTCTTCGGCAGAGTAGCTGGTTGGTTTGAATCGGTAACCTTTCACTTAGCAGCCGAGGGCTCTCATCAGGGCTTCTTTGCACATATATTGCGGTTGGTCAGTGCTGTCTAGTTGATTCTGACTCCCTGCAGCCTGTGTACGACCTGCAACACACTGCCCAGGCCTGGGCCACCCACACAGTCTTTGCTCTGTTTGAGCCTCGGTGTCACTGTGTGTTCCATCTGCTTGAATGAAGGTCTCTCCTATGTCGGTGACTCGCTACTTGACCAAGCACGATGTCCTTTTCCAGGTGCTGGCCCCTCCTGACAACATGTCTGCCCGGACTACGGGAGAGGACGTCCCCACATCCTCACGTCTAAGGAGCATGCTGGCAGACTTGTCTGCTAATGCCAGAGCATCCTTTCTTCTCCGGTCTTCCTGGTGCGTCGTCCAGCTTTCAGATGGACGCGAGGGGGCGGAAGACAGCAGGCACACCTTTGTCCTCAAAGTGACACTCTTGCTCTTCAACGTTTTAGAGAGGTCTCGTGCAGCAGATCTGCCCAGGGCAATATGCCAACCCGTCCATTTCACTATCACGCAGCCACCCTTTGAAATCTTCTGTTCAGCGTGTACGTTGTCAGTGCTTCCCTTTGCTCTAGCTAGTCTGCATTCAAGAGCAAACTCTTCTGGCTTCTGGCCTCTTATTTTTTCCTTGGCTTTTTAAACCCTTTGCTTTCTTCGTGTATTGTGTCCCCCATGCCTGCCCACAGCTTGTCTGATTGACCTTTGGCCGTGAGTGTTCAGTGTGGTCAAGTTTATTCTTGAGAGTCTCTGAATTGAGAGTGACTCACAGTTGCACTTTGACTCATGTGGACTTGTTTTAGCTTTAACGTCGACTTCAACTTGCATATGAGCAATTTATGGTGTGTCCTGCGGTTGATTCTTGCCTTTGTTGGAACTGATGATACTGGGCTTCTCCCACAGAA